ATTCAAAATACAAGAGTGTATTTTTTGTTCGAAATAAGTCATTTAATAGTTTTTGAGTAAAGATTATGCTATTTGGGCAATTTATCCCTAGCCAAAATTTTAAGCGTCGAATAGATTCAGGACACCGGAGCAAAAACCTACTTCCACATAATCGGAGTTTCCTCAGTCACCTTGCCCAGCATGGGTCCTGCTGGGTCGAAAAATCGGTAGTTTAGATTCGCCAGAATATTGCCCACCGCGGCATCCATATGTTTAACGACCTCCTCCTTCATTTCCAGGTTGAGTTTGGCGAGTAACGAGCGCAACTGACCCTCGTAGGCCCCAACAGTGCATTGAGACAATGGCATCCCGCCCGCCTCGATACCCATCAGCACCGAGCGAGCCGCCTCAAAGTCAATAGTCGCCCCGAACCTCCTGCCGCCACGGGGTCCAGAACATTTAAGAGAGATTTCTTGACTGCATGAATCAACAGTAGGAGATTGTGCAGTCGCGTTTGACACTGAAAGCAAGAATAGAGGAACTGAAGTAAATATTACTAAGATTGAGAGACTAAGAGGTTCATATAGCTCGCTTTAGAACTAGTCAGGATGCAGAGAATAAACGTCCCGATGGATGCTGTAATTATTGTACGCATAAAATAATTCGCGTAAATTTATAATTCTAACCTGTTCCTATCTCCGTAAAGAACGATGATCCATTTGTCCTAATGTTATCCGGGCTTGATAGTATGTCAGACATACGTTTGAAATCACCAGCCTTTTTCCTTCATGTTTAGCATAATCATCTGATCGTTCTCCCCTCTTTGATCTGTACAATTGGCACACGAATTAGCCAGCATTTAGTGAGGACTAAGTGGTAATGATAAATAGTCTTCATCAAAGGAATAGCGAAGAAATGAAGGATTTTTTGTACAAGCATTTCTGACCCCTGTTCCTCTACTTTCTCCATATCCACCCTCAGTCTGGAGTTGGTGCTACATTCTCGCGCTAGTGTATGCATAATGATAGGGAATTATGGTTTCCTTCTATTTATTTATTTTCCATAATTCCTGCTTAGTATTGTTAACCGACTATTAATATCAATAGCATGAGGTCCTTTTCCAACCATATTTAAAGTCCTCTATAAATCGGTTAGTCACCATTTTCTGGCCTTACCTTGTATTGAGATATGTGTGATAGGATGGCATTACCGCCATGTGGACAGCCATATGCAACTCTATAAACCCCAGCCATGGTCGTTTGGAATTATGAAATTGAGTATGGTGTTGCTTAAATTCGATATCTTAGTTGCTCTTCTAACACTATACATTAATTTTGTCATCTTTCCCTTTGTATTGACCTGATCATAAATATGTTTTAGGGCCTTTTGAACCCTGCTGACGGTGGTTACAATCAGGTCTCTATAATAACTATTATGCTGAGATCGTTGGGGAT